AACTCTGACTCTCGTGCGGCGAGCTCCTCCCACGCCTGGATTTTGGAGCCTTTCTGACCGTTCGTCGGCACATGCGTGTTGGACAAGGCTTGCACATGCACGAGTGGGCCCGGCATCTGTTGGCAACATTTTTTGGGGTCAACATATATTATTAATTAAATATATTAAGATCACAAATAGTATATAATTTATGGTAATAGTTATGTATTAGTCACAATTACAAACCCCACAATCACAAATTACAAATCTTATAGGTCATAAATTATTTCTCGATTAAAATTTTTTTTAGATTAATAGGTCACATATTATTCTTTAGTCATAAATCACAAATTTTATAAGTAACAACTTATTTCATGGTCACAAATTATCAAATTATTGATCCCTAAATAATTCTAGGTCACGAATGATCAAATTATTGACCACGATTTAACAAAATTTTAGGGCACAAATTATCTATTTAATTAGTCACATATTATTTATTGGTCACAAATTATCCAATTTATTGATTTCAATCAACCAAATAATTGGTCACAAACACCTCACCCATTGTACCATCGCCACGACCACCACCTCACTTGCACCGCCAACATCACCACAACCTTATCCTCGTAGCCAACATCATGACCATCACTATCCAAACATCACCAAAAATCAGATCCAAAAAATTAAATCCAAAATTATCACCATCCCCCGTCACACCACCACCACCACCACCACCACATCCCAAGCAGATTCATTACCATCGCTAGCATTTCACCACCGTCAACACCTCATCATCACTACGATGGCAACATGAAAACCACCGCAGAGCAGATCTAATCAGAATCGGAGACGATGTCATTGCTGCTGAAAACCACGATAGCATTAAAACCACCTAAGCTGATGCGTCATGATGCCGGAGATGACTCCACAAATCTCAAATCTTCGAACACAACAGTGACACCGTCGTTTACATTGCATGTGTTTTGGATTTGTGTTTTAGTAAAACGAACGGGGCAAGGGTTCAACAAATAGGCTAGATCCTATCTGTATTGTGCCGCTATCACGTTGGCGGTGTTGTGCGCAACGTCGCCTTCGGTGGTGTTTGGGTGTGTTAAAGAAAAAGAAGAGAGAAATGACATAGATGTAGAGAGAGAAGGGGAGAGGAAAATATTTAGGATTTGAGTGGATGGAGGTAGGGTAGGCATATAGATTAATTTAATTTTAAAATATTAATAATAACGTTAGAATGTTGAATTATCATCTAAATTTTGTAAAAATGGTGTTCAACTAACTTCAAATAAATTTACAGTCAACCTAGACTCCAGCCGTTTATCAAAAGTGTGGATTGAACTGGCACGTGGAACCATCATTGTGGCATAGCAATAACATTTTTAAGTTTTAAGTTTAAAATTTTTTTTTTTTTAAATTAACCGAGCTGATAGGATTTGTCTTCATGGGTCATTGAATTAAAATGTCTAGCTTGGTATTGTAGGCCGACTCGTGAACCATCTCTGAC